ATTTCTTATTTTTGGGATAGCCCGCACCTCCATATACCCCGCAGGGTCTTGTTATGTTTGTAAAAAGTGGTATACCCCGCGGGTTATATGCGGGAAAATACGTTAATTTGCAAATTTTCTGAATGGGCTGTGCGACGGAGCGGTGAGAATGTGGCTGTGCAGCAGCAAGTAGCTGTCGTCTCTGCCTTATGCCCATTCATTATTATCACTGCCATTCATTTATTGTGCGCGACAATGAATCTCAGCCACGCGGGGCTTGGTTTGCAGCAGAGGGCAGTGCAGCGAAACTTTTTGATGTTGTTGCGAACTACGCTCCAACATCTATGTCCCCCTCCCCACCAAGCCACGTAGGCCAGCGCGGTGTGAAGTGTAGCAAAGTTGACTGCCAACCATCCACACGCGCCACGGGGATGGTCCGATTCGGCGACGGATTGACAAACGTGGCCGAGCACGTCCGACAGTGAGAGAGGGGCACGGGTGGAGCCCTGCAGCTGCAGCCGCCGCTGCTGCTGCTGCGTTGCCTGCTTGTGTTGCGGTGCGCAGAGCAGCCTGACCGCGCAGCAGATGCTCAGGGAATGGGTGCAGCTGCACCACGTGCTGCGCCACAGTCCCGAGCACGCAGACTCGGAGGCCCAGGGCCACGCAGAGCCAATGAGTTCCCTCTGCGCCCAGGTAATGCTGCTGCTGCCGCTGCTGCTGCCGCTACGACGACAGTTCAGTGCACGCGGCATTTGCACCGATTTTAAAGCGCGCGAGGCAAAGCATCCCGCAACCTCCGATTGGCTACGCACGGTGCGAAAGAAGTTCAACTTAATGCTATACGTACAAGGCGCCGCTCTGCAGTAGCTTTGTAGTCAGGGAGGCGATGACGCTGCTGCTGCTGCTGAGCACGATCCCAATCGAGGCATTTGCAGGGAAGCATCACGTTGGGATTGTGACGCCCGTCCACAATGGGCTGCTCTCTTTAAGTGGAATCGAGGGATCTTCAACGTCCACCGTGAATGAATCGGCACGGAGAACGTTGTACGGTGATTACACCCAGTGCCGGATTGTCCCAGTAGCACGAGTCGCCACAAATGCTACGGGCCCCGCACATTCAAGGGCCCCGCGCTAAATGCCTTCAAGCTATCAATTCCGGTTCAGTGATTCTGCACTTGCTCTATTGCTATAGTACTATACCGCCTTCAACTTTTACGAATGCAATTACTTTACTATGCAAGTGAATTTTTTTGTAATGTTTTTATTTATTTATTTCGGGCCCCTTCATCACATTTACTACAGTTGCTACAGGCCCCACACGAGCTTACTCCGGCACTGATTACACGCCGAGGTATTAGCCGCGGTGGCCTGCCGGGTGTCGCGCCAGCACCGGGCCAATGTCACCGCCTCGTCGTGGTCTCGAGAATGAGCTCTCGAGAGCAGTTGTTCTTCACCTTGACTGCATCATACACACCCCTTTGGTTCTTACATCGTAAGGGGCCGCCCATAAATGACGTCACGCGATTTTAGACGATTTTTGACCCCCCCCCCCTTCGTCACACGGCGTCACAAAAAGTCAGACCCCCCTAAAATATGACGTCACAAAGCTCTGCCCCCCCCCAACCATATTTCTATTTTGAAAATAAAACATGCTTCAAATCGCTTTAAACTATTGTCATTGTAGTGCGTATTTAATGTGGCGCTGCACTCTGATGTTGTAGAAAACATTTATTAAAAAGTCTATTTAAGTAGAACGTGTTGCCTATATTTATTTAAGTTGCGCATTTTAATGTGACGTCACATTTCTTAACCCCCCCCCCCCCGTCACAAACGTCTGACACCCCCCCCAGGTGCGTGACGTAATTAATGGGCGGCCCCTAAAACAAAAAAAAGTATGTTAATACATAGGGGTTTGTTGAAACAAAGTTGTAACTTCACGTACCCATTACTTACCTTCTAAAACAATCTCGCGCAGCCATGAGGTGCGTGCACCCCAGGTGAAGAACTCCTCTCGAGAATCAGGGGGTCGGGGTAATGACACACCGCCTACCGTAAGTCGATGATTCGTACTGAGGAAGTCCTGATGCAACTCGCCGTGGATTAACGTTCCACGAAGAGACCAATGCACCCCCTCCAAAATACTGCCCGGCCTACTCCCCGTCTAGGCTATAGATAATAACAAGTCCTTTATTTAACCCAGGAAAAAACTGAGTCTCAAGATAATGTTTTTTTGTCAGTGGGAGGCCTGCATTTGGATGTATGGGCCAACACAGTTGTTCGTGATCTTGGGAGGAAGCCACAGATGTTTGGGCCAACACAGTTGTTCGTGATCTTGGGAGGAAGCCACAGATGTTTGGGCCAACACAGTTGTTCGTGATCTTGGGAGGAAGCCACAGATGTTTGGGCCAACACAGTTGTTCGTGATCTTGGGAGGAAGCCACAGATGTTTGGGCCAACACAGTTGTTCGTGATCTTGGGAGGAAGCCACAGATGTTTGGGCCAACACAGTTGTTCGTGATCTTGGGAGGAAGCCACAGAACTTGCGGAAAATTCACACGAACGAGACGATGATAAACTAAGCAGCGCCCTCCCCTGTCCGCCTCACAGCCGCACGGCTACACCACCCGGCAAGCCCTGGCGTGAAGCCATCCGAGTATTAGCCAGGCTCAAGCCTGACACAACTCCCGAGATCTTATGCGATTGGGCACGCCATTTCTCCAGTAGGGTTCTGCTCGCGACGATTTCCCCCCAAATACTTTTGAGAGAATAATTTCCATGCGGTAACAAATCGCATTTCCTCACGATGAAGCGGCGCATGCAGAACGTGAGACGCGCGAGAGGCTCTCCGTGCCACGCACCGTGGCTGCTGCTGTCGAGAGCGAGTTGGGATGGCAGGGATCCACCACTGCCACCTTCCCAACTCAAATCCAACAGCCTCTGCAACGATGAGAACACCGATCACGTGGTCGCGGCATTCCGCGGGGCGGTCACAAGGCCCGGCCGCGGGCGAGTTCGCTGCTCGTTGCACAGCTTTCACGGTTCGAACCCAGCAGGCGGCCCTGGCCATGACCCCCGGTGTTGTCAACGCATGCGTACCGCCTGCTTCACGGTGGATGCTCAAATTGTGTGACGTCATTCGGCGTCGGGGTTCACATTCAATTTAAAACCTGCAAATTACTCAATTGGGGGTCGCACGCGTGTGTACCACATATGTATGTTGAACTTCTTTTGCACCGTACGGAGCCAACCGTGCTAATCGGAGGTGCGGGGGACCGACAATTAAACACAAAAAGCAGTTCTAGAGAAATGAATTTTAAATCTAAATTATTTTAAAGTGCATAGCTCCAGTAGCTTTCTAATATCGGAAGAGCATTCCACACGGCCGCAGAAGCGCATCTGAACGCCGTCTTTGTTTGATGTCCGCTGCTGCGAGGTTGACCGCAGTTCACGTGATGCTTTATGCTCCTGGACGAGATCAGAAAGGTGTTGTGGTTCATTTTGCGGCAAGCACTTCGTGCGTAACGAGTGCTGGTTGTTGTGGACAAGGCCGAGAGCACTGCCCATGTGATGCGGTAATCACGTGGGAGTGCGCACGAGGCGGGCAGATGACAGCGGCGTCCTCCTGCCGTGTGCGAGCAGAAGCAGCCCCTTTGCGTGTTGCTATTCCGTCGAGCCCCAAGTAACCCCCCCCCCCCCCTCCCCGGCGTGGTCGTGTGGCGTCGTGCAGGCGGCATCGGCTGCTGGAGGGGACCGAGACACGGACCCATCCCCTACGTACACCATCTCATTCCAGCCGGCGCCGCCACCGCCACCAGCAAACTTCCCCTGGAGACGCGGCGAGGGGGCAAGCGTCGGCATCGGCCCCGGACTGTGCCCCGTGTGAATCAATGCGCCGTTGTTGCAAATGTTGACACGAGTAGAGCATGATGAGCGATTTGCTCTGTAATTCTGCGCTGTCACTGGTATAACAACGGGCCACATGGTAAACCGCCGCAAGTCTGCGCTCCTTCAACGGAGCAGGAATGGCACTTCACCAACTCTCTCTCCTGAAGCCCTCTTTTCGTGGCGAGCAGACCTCGATATTGGCATTTAACTCCTGAACGTGTTGCTACAATCATGCACAAGAGTAGACATAACTGGTACAGGCAGGACCGCCCAAGACGGGAGGATGACGGGGAATTGGCGAAAGGATAATTTTCCCCAGGTCTCACACAAATGAGGGCCCACACAACGCGGCCCTGTAAATGGAAGAGTGGGGGCCCATTAATCTTTCTGCTCCAGGATTCCAGGGACCTCTGGGCAGCTTAACCATGCTTAGTTTCGAGATCCGACGAGACTTGGCACAATCACAATAAAACTTATAAACCAGGAGACGTTTCGAATGGCGGTGGTTTGAAAAGTAAAGATTCGTTCGTCGGTTGGGAGGGATGCTGTGGGGCGGAGAGGGAAACAGGCGGCAGGATGGTAAACCCACCGCGGTTGAGACGTCCGCAAAAGGATGTCTCAACCGCGTGGCTTCCCTGTTACGTTTACCGCATCGCTGCACCTTCCGTCGAGCAAATGTATCCACCACCGTCCAACGCCGCATTCAATCGGCAGCACCATAACGGTTGGCTGCTGGCTATTATAGGTTTGGAAACATTAGCATTTGCAGTATTGGCTTGTTATTTTGTCAACAATTTCACACTGAAAATAAACTATATAGCCCTGCTGTGTTTCTCCAGTGCATCGACCAGGATTTGTGGTTTGGGTTTTTATTCCTAATGCAGAGAGGATACTTTTATAATTTGTCGTCGAACTTATATTACATGTATATATATCTCCCTAAATCTCTTATCTGCTTCTTGTACACAATATCTAGCGCGGTGTTTCTCAAACTTGTTTGGCCCGCGGACTGTTCAGCCGATGCAAACATTTCCGCAGGCCACCTAGCATCCCACCCCTGGTGACAAAACAGATTAAACTTCTCTCTCTAAATATACAAAACAAATCATATTACCGCAACATTATTATTATTATTATTATTTTACGCAGATATAATTATTTATTTAGGGGAGGCCATTTAGATCTTAGGGTGAGGGTAGTTTAATTACAGTAGCTTACCTAACGTCATCTTTAAATTAAATATCATGGGTAACATGAATTCATGTCCGAAATAAAAAGGTATAAACATTGTCACTATATCCGGATCAAGCTGCGTTTGCATCACAGCCCTGCGGACCACCGGGAGGGCCGTCACGAACCACTAACTGGTGGTGCGGAGACCACACTTGGAGAACAACTGCCCTAGAGATGCTAAGCTTATCACAAACAAGTTGCAGAAATTAAAATCTCTAGCAGAGGCAGCTGTCTTTAGGCAATTTTAAAATTCTCATTTTACGCTCTCGCAAAGAAGATGGGAATCTGCTCGTCACATCACGCCGGAGCACAGCCTTTGCGTCAACCACGCGGACACAAACTCACGACTATCAATGCCACTAATAACCGTTGTAAGAAAATGAAAAATACTTTGACCGCCAGTGTACATACACGAACTGCAGGTTGCTAAGATTCAAATCTGTAATTGATGAGAAAACCCATCTGAACAATTGAGTCAGACCATCACGTGGCCTACCCCCAAAAATAAATTATCAATCGTAATTTTGGCTGCAAAAACCGACGTCCTGTGATCCAAATCTCACTTGCCAAGTACACGGCGCCCCGTCCTGCCGTCTCACGCCACGTTGCCCGTGGCTTCGACGACGCCAACAGGATTTCGCGAACGGTAAACAAAGCACGGGCACTTGGTCAGCCCCAAAAAAACATATACAAAATCCACACCCGAGTTGGGATTCGAACCCTGGGCCTTCTTGCTGCTGAGGCACAAACATTGCCACTCTCGAGGCCTCGGGGGCATGAGCTCCACAGAATTTGAAAATGACTCCAGCAGCTGACGCCCCGCCCCCCTCTCCCCCACCCTTTTCACGATCCTTGCGCCCGAACCCCCGGCGAGGCGGGGCCGTCCTCGCTCGCGCCCGCGTGGCCCTGGGGGCCTCCGACGGAGAAGTTCGGATCCACGATCGTCCCCTCGTACAGCGCTCGGTTTCTAAGTCGCTCCTGCAGGGACCGCTGCTGAATCCTCATCTTGGCGTTTTGGTATCGGCAATAGAACCTAAGAGAGAGGGCGTGGGGGGGGGAGAGGGAGCGGGCGGTGTGAGCGCGTCCGCAGTCGGAAGCAAGGCAACAACACGCCCGAGCGGTTTCCTGCTCACCGCTGAAGTGCTCTCGTCTCAATTACAGCCCTGAGCCAGTGGTAGAAATTCCTCATTCCAAATATGTGCGTACGCACGTACGTTGGAACTTTCTTCCGCACCGTACGTAGCCAACCGTGCTAATCGGCGGTGGATAAGTACTGCTGCTCATCGGAGGTCGATAAGTGCCGTCCATAGTACAACCGCCGCTGACTTCCCTAAAAGGCCGTACTCATTGTATACACCATGCAGGGATGATGGGTTGAGGCAAATTCCAATCAGGATTTAAATTCGCAACTTTCCGATTGCAAGCCACTCACTCTACCGCTGAGCCACCAAGGCAGGCGAGTTAATAAATACGTTCCCTGATTTTTTTTTTCTTTTGCATCGTTATCTGAATAGCGAATGCCATGAGACTGCATTTTGTGTTTAACCAGCTATGGCTGCACGGAGCTTCATGAAACTCACTCAATATGATCAAAGTATTTTTAAGGGTGTTAGGACAATGCTTAGTACCCCGGCCGATAGGACACATTAACCGTGACACTTGCAGTCGTTTGACTTAAAATCTTTGATTACCACTTTAAGTGCTGATATGATTATCATATATCATTAAATATAAATGCTTAGGCTTTGTAAACCTTTGTGAACTATGATGATGCATTTTACCCGGTGGAAATGACTCCGTCATTGGAACTCATGCACGCCAAGACCAAAATAAGTAATAAAACCACAGACATGGAACAGCTACATTGAGATTGCATGACTAACCAAAATATATGTTAAGGCGAGTCAGAATACGAGACACGTTTTCGCCAAAGTTATCCAAAGCAACATTCGATGTTTATAAAAAGACATGGATCTGGAGAAAGGCATACCCATCAATGGAGATAAATTAAACATCTTAGATTTCTTCACAAGTCATGATAACCAATGTAAATGCGTTAATAAATCATGAGGCCTTAATGAAGAAGGCTATAACAAAGCAGGGCTCAATATAAACCGGGGCCAGACAAGATGCGTGTACAGGTCCATCGTCAGAAACACCAATCCACGACGCTCCTGCACATGAATCGATCTCAACACTCCGTCTCTGCAGTGGCCGTCCGCTCAGACAAGGTCCACCCTTTGGCTGCCATTCCACAATCAGTCTCGGCCATCTGCCACGATTCGGGTCGAGCGACTGTGCTCTGCCCAAACCCCCTTAGCTCTTCTGAGCGGGTCGTCAAGTGGTCTCCATCTTTGCATTTGTTGTGATCCGCGTATTCCCTTCTCCGTTTCTCAGGGTCAATTCCAAGCGAGCATCTCTCCGTGCTCCTTTGTCTAGCACACCGTGATAAGACGTCAACAGTTACTGGAGCTGGACTGGTCCACGCGTCAAGGGATTGGGATTTCCCACCCCTCTATCACGGTAATCAAGAAAGCACTGTCCCAGCACTCTCTGAGCATGGAGACATTATCATCGGACTCCCGCTTGCTGTCCACTTATCGCTGAGAAAACGCATCGGCCGGACGTGCCGGAACTCCCGAGTGCACGTCACAAGGCAATAATGTTGCATGCAGCACACGCGTGCTCACGTTGATGACATGTATCCTCGTTTGTTGACGTACGAGTACAATCGCCACCCTGTGTGTATTTAACGTTTCTGTAACTTGATTGTAATTGCACTAAGATCAGTCTAAAAATAATCTTCTGGAGCCAACTGTACATGACAGGGAATGTATTATCCAACGGCGATTCGCGGTTGTCAAATATTGTCAATGTCTCATGTGACAGTTTCTGTTTTACTTTTGACATATATTTGCTTTTCACTGCTGTTACTCTGTTTTTGTTCTTTTCTTGTCATTTGGGTGACTCAGGCGACTCACAAACGAGACTCATGCTGGTCTCTTAGTTAGTTCTCAGCTGGACAAAGAAAATAAACTTGAAACTAGATGCTGCGTGCAGTGCACACGCGTGCGTGCGACCGAGCGAGCACGCACTCACTCACCAGGAGCTCAGGGTGGTGAAGATGAATCCTCCCATCGCGACGTCGCAGGAGCGCCGTACTCGGCCTTCGGGACGCGCAGACACACGCACGCGGGCACGGCCGCAGAGTCACCGATCCGTCAGCAGTCGAGTGATTCAGTGACTAAAATTAAACGAACTTATTTTTTTATTTTAGCATACGGAGCTGTGTAGCTCTTTTGCAAAAGCGTTCAGGCCACAAATGATAGCTCAACAACGTGGCTTATCACGTGGAAATTTATCGCAGCCAAGTATTCTAAACGCGTGCCTCTAAATGTGGAGGGAAATACCGGACGACCCGGAGAAAAATCCACACGACCACGGGGAGAACACGCAAACTCCAAATATACAGGCTTCAGGGTCGGGATCAAACCCACGACCTCCTGTATACCGGGCGAGGTAGTTAACATCTCACCACCATGGCACCCTGCTCCGACTACATTGTCCACGCTGCACACAGAGGATTTAATTATTCTCGTGCAAAGCGTCCGGCGCTGTCGCTGCGAGATCCATCGTTGTAGCCTCAAAGAAGTGTTTCCTTACATTCACTGATGTCCTTAAGGTAACCATACTAGCGAGCGAGGAAGTTGGCTCACTGCCATTCTCTGCAAGGGTTACTCTGCCTAGGCTAGGGATGACAATGTCAAAGGATCATCTTTACAGCTGACACAGCAATTCAAATCCAACACTCTCTGTACGTGATAAGAACACCAATCACAACCGAATTCACGTAGGCTGGAAACATGTAGATTCAACAAAGGACAAAGGTGTGCTGCTCACAAACAGCAGGAAGACATGCGTGCCATCATGCCTTACATGTAAGTCACGTGACCACCACATTGTGTTGATTGTGCTCTCAGCCTGTTCTGGACCACCATCTCGATGGTGCTGAAGGTGTGGACGTGTCATTGCATAGGCCATCAACTCAGAAAGGGTTGAACATGTGGCAATTGGGTCACACCAACATCTGTGGGTTCTACACTTGCATGATAACAGTTTACCTGACTGAGTGTAAACCCCATACACGTGTGAGTGAGATAACCCATTGACACGTGTGAAAGTGTGAGAGTGTGAACCCATTGAGATGTGTGTGAGAGTGTGAACCCATTGAGATATGTGTGAGAGTGTGAACCCATTGAGATGTGTGAGAGTGTGAGAGTGTGAACCCAGTGATGTGTGTGAGAGTGTGAGAGTGTGAAAGTGTGAGAGTGTGAACCCATTGAGATGTGTGTGAGAGTGTGAGAGTGTGAGAGTGTGAACCCATTGATGTGTGTGAGAGTGTGAGAGTGTGAGAGTGTGAAAGTGTGAGAGTGTGAACCCACTGAGATGTGTGTGAGAGTGTGAGAGTGTGAGAGTGTGAACCCATTGAGATGTGTGTGAGAATGTGAGAGAGTGAACCCATTGACACGTGTGTGAGTGTGTGAACCCATTGACATGTGAGAGTGTGAGAGAGTGTGAGAGAATGTGAGAGAGTGAGAGTGTGAGAGAGTGTGAGAGGGTGTGAGAGAGTGAGAGTGTGAGAGAGTGTGAGAGAGTGAGAGTGTGAGGGAGTGTGAGAGAGTGTGAGAGAGTGAGAGTGTGAGAGAGTGTGAGAGAATGTGAGAGAATGTGAGAGTGTGAGAGAGTGTGAACACACTGACACGTGTGAGAGTTTGAGCCGCAAACACGTGTGTGTGTGAGCGAGTGTGAGCAAGTGTGATGTGGAAGGGGCTGGATGGGTGTGGTGCAGGCTTGGGAGGGAGATGGACTGGTGCGGTGCGGTGTGGGAGGTGTCAGGCTCGGCCTCTATTGAGGCGGCTCATGAAGGACGCTGCTGGTCAGTTGGGGGCAGTCGCCCCCCAACAACATCGGAGGGCAGAGGAGTGACGCTCACAACAATGAGCGGAGCACCGGGCGGCTAAAATGCAGCAAGTTGGCACTGTAGGGGGCACAGCTGGTGTGCATCTGCCAGTCATCTCAGTCAGTCAACCCATGGCACCTGAGTTTGTCCCGTGACCTGTCAGCGAGCCTTCGACACGTCACGTGGCCTCAAAGTGCACTTGGCCTGGCACAGGCGCCACTTAGTGGCGAGATGGTGGCTGATGTTGTTGAGGGAGTGAGCCGTACTCGTGAAGAGGAAGTAACTGAGGCCAAAGGCAGTGGCTCCCGCAGAGCCGTGCAGCACGCACTCCCTCGCACACGGCGTGTTCTGCACGTCCAGGATGCCCAGCAGCTTGAAGCTCTGTACATTCACACGCAGCACACAAGTAGGGGCACGATCAACAACAGCCGCCATTCTCCACTAAGCGGCGGTGATGTCACCAAATGCCGCGCTTGTGCCAGGCTAGGTGGTGCACTTCGAGGCTTATTGCGTGAGGTGTGGAAGGCTCGCCGACAGGTCACGGGACAGACCCAGGTGTTATGGGTTGACTGCCTGAGATGATTGACACTGACACTGTGACAAAAGAGACAATGATACTCCATATATAGCTTTTACAGAATGTTGAGGCCAGTGCTATAAAGCGAGCACCTATGAAGGCCGGCACATGAGGGGGTATGTGGCTCGCACCATGCCCGGCTGCCTTTGTCTCCCCAGTGGCGAAGTTCACACACCGCACCAGGTACTAATTTGAGGCTGAGTCTACCTAGGGGAGCCCCACAACCGGTCCAGATAATCGTCACTGGTGTTGGCCGTGAGCGGAAATGGAACTCAGGTTGCCGGATTCGTAGCGCAGCGTGCTAACTGCTACACTACCGCTCCCCACACTATGTGACAACAATCACACCTTTACAACACGTAACAAAAAGGCAAAGATCTCCAGTGTAGCCTATACACAGACTGTTGGGGAAAGTGCTGTTAGTGAGCAGCACCTATGAAGGCCGGCGGAGCACATGAGGGGGTGAGTGGCCAGCACCACGCTGGGCCACCTTTGGCACCAGTGCTGGTGTTTTGCGCATTGGGATCCTAAAATGGAATGAGCATTACAAATTTTAATTATTATACACTGCCCCAGTTATGGCTGAGCTGACCTACAGGTGGCCCAGGACCAGTTCAGATATAACTCGCCGTCGATGGCCAGGAATTTAACTCAGGTCAACGCAGTGCATGGAACATTGTACCAAATCTCTCTATTCGTACACGTAACAACAAACGGTGATCAGAATTATAGTCATAGAGCCATTTGTGGAAAGGTAACATGACACTCTGGATTGTGTGCAAATTTTGTATTTCTCGTGACTGGTTCCTGCTGCCCCTGCACCGACCACTGGATCCCAACCGTGCGCCTTCGAGTTCTGCGGGCGTTCGTAAAACGTGGGAATTTCCAAAGCAGGTGTGGGCAGGCTGGCGGGCTCGGTGTAAAACCGTGGTGGCGTGTGACGGCTGAGGTCAGTTTCCAGCCGTGGGAACAGCAGGGCCATTGGGGGCACCGCAGACCCATGACATTAGCGTCATAGGCAGTGGTGGAAATGGGACGGAACGCCGTGGTGGGAGTGAAAATTTGCACCATGCGACTGCGTTCCAGAAGGAAGCAAAGGGTTGTGTATTCATTTGACTCACAGATAGACCCCTAGACTAAACAGATTGACACCTAGACTAACAGAGAGACCCACAGACACGCATCGAAACCCACAGACACGCTCAGAGATCCAGATACATGCCCAGAGACCCACAGACACGCTCAGAGACCCACGGCCAGGCTCAAAGACCCACATACACGCAGACCCACGACGCTCAGAGAACAACAGACACGCTCAGAGACCCACAGACATGCACAGAGACCCAGATACACGCCCAGAGACCCACAGACATGCACAGAGACCCAGACACACGCCCAGAGACCCACAGACACGCTCAGAGACCCATAGCCAGGCTCAGAGTCACGCAGACCCACGATGCTCAGACACCAACAGACACTCACGGACACCCACGGACACGCTCAGAGATCCTCAGACACTCACGGACACCCACGGACACGCTCAGAGATCTTCAGACACGCACAGAGACCCACAGCCACGCTCAGAGATCCTCAGACACGCACAGAGACCCACAGACACGCTCAGAGATCCTCAGACACGCACAGAGACCCACAGACACGCTCAGAGATCCTCAGACACTCACGGACACCCACGGACACGCTCACAGATCCTCAGACACGCACAGAGACCCACAGACACGCTCAGAGATCCTCAGACACGCACAGAGACCCACAGACACGCTCAGAGATCCTCAGACACGCACAGAGACCCACAGACACGCTCAGAGATCCTCAGACACGCACAGAGATCCACAGACACGCTCAGAGATCCTCAGACACGCACAGAGACCCACAGACACGCTCAGAGATCCTCAGACACGCACAGAGACCCACAGACACGCTCAGAGATCCTCAGACACGCACAGAGACCCACAGACACGCTCAGAGATCCTCAGACACGCACAGAGACCCACATACACGCTCAGAGACCAGCATACAGAGCAAGGCTCCTCCTCCCCCTCTTCCTCCTCCCATCTAGTGGTGGTGTGGGGAATCATGTGTTCCAATATTGCCTTTCCATTTCCAGCCCTGGTAATAGTTGTTCCACAAGTACAGTCAGCCTGTTGGGGGATGACAAGATGGGTTGGTTGTATGTTGAACTTCTTTCGCACCGCACGTAGCCAACCGTGCTAATCGGAGGTGCGGAGTTGGCCTGGACTAGCACATGAACCCTCACAAGATGACCACAACAGACCAAGGCTAACACAAACTATGGGCGTTCCTGTCCAACACAAACTCCATGGATATTTCTCCCAGAGTACCTAAATACGGATTTATATTCATCGACTTTGAGATGTACTCCCATTTAGTCGCTTCAATTCTCCACGTACATTAATTACACGTATTGTATAATTCTGCGTTGAACTAGAACCGGTATTGAGTCGAGCTAGTCCGTCGACTGCTGCTGCTGACGAGACGAAGTTCAATATCGACACGGGTGCACAGTTTGCGTGTTCAGAGAACAGACACGCTCAGAGAAAATTTGCACCGTGCGACTGCGTTCCGGAAGGAAGCAAAGGGTTGTGTATTCACTTGACTCACAGATAGACCCCTAGACTAAACAGATTAACACCCAGACTAACAGAGAAACCCACGAGTCATTGCCGCTGGAATTCTTCACTGGCACGGCGCCGCGGAGCCGATGGGCTGCACGCGCAGAGACAGATGCAGTGAGGGAGCAGGGACAGAGTGTCTGTTTAGTCTCATCTATAGGATCGCCTGAACCCAGCTCTCCTCTTCCATAGGACTACGTGCCCCCCACACGGCGTGACCCCACACGGCGTGACCCTCTCACTGCGTGACCCCCACACTGCGTGACCCCCACCTGGCGTGACCCCCACACTGCGTGACCCCCACACGATGTGACCCCCACACTGCGTGACCCCCACAAGGCGTGACCCCCACACGGCGTGACCCCAACGGCGTGACCCCCACACGGCGTGACCCCCACGGCGTGACCCCCTCACGGCGTGACCCCCACACTGCGTGACCCCCACACGGCGTGACCCCACACGGCGTGACCCCCACACTGCGTGACCCCCACCCCCGGGCGTGACCTTGCGCGGAGCCTCTGCCGTCTCCTCGGTGCTCATGGCGGCGCGGGAAGACGACTGACGACGGTGGTGGTGGTGGGTGGAGTAAGACGACGACGATGGTGGTGGTGGGTGGAGTAAGACGGTGGTGGTGGGTGGAGTAAGAAGACGACGATGGTGGTGGTGGGTGCAGTAAGACGGTGGTGGTGGGTGGAGTAAGACGACTGACGATGGTGGTGGTGGGTGGAGTAAGACGGTGGTGGTGGGTGGAGTAAGACGACTGACGATGGTGGTGGTGGGTGGAGTAAGACGACTGACGACGGTGACCGCAACACACGTGAACTCGTCACCACGTGACCTCGCCACCACGTGACTAATGCCGCGTGGGCCGCGCGAGACTCAGTGGGGGGGAGGCGCGCGCGCGGCGATGACGTGAACGCGTGACGTCAGGGGAGGAGGGGCCCAGCGCGAGCGGGAGGGGGGATGGGTGGGGGGACGCGAGATGGGAAGGGGATGAAGGCTGGGTGGGTGGGGGGCTGTTTGGGGGGAGGGGGCGCCCCACCCAGCCCCCCTCCCCCCACGCGCGCCCCCCCACCCATCCCTCCTCGCCCCCCCACCCAGCCCCCCTCCCCCTTGCGCCCCCCCCACCCAGCCCCGGGCTGGGTGGGGGGGGCGCGCGAGGGGGGAGGGGGCTGGGTGGGGGGGGGCGCGCGAGGGGGGAGGGGGCTGGGTGGGGGGGCGAGCGAGGGGGGAGGGGGCTGGGTGGGGGGGGCGCGCGAGGGGGGAGGGGGCTGGGTGGGGGGTTGTCAGAATCAGAATCTTTATGTTTGACTGGAAAAATCCGATGAGCTGTAAAGCTCTTTTTCACAGATGTCCAGTCGGTGCGGGTCAGAAAGGCACAAACACCGATAGGAGTGCAAAGTAGAGAGAAGCTAAGTAAGTCACTGAATATAAATACTGTACGTATACAAGTACACTGCATAACTACATTCGTTTTCACACAAAGTTCTTACCACAAATGAATCACGAAACCTTTGCTGGTCTCGTTAAGGTGTATGAAACATCACCCGGCCAACTCTGTGGTCATCCTCGCAGTAGCAGTGGCTATTGGTCAACCATCGCTTCCGCGGCCGTCTGGAACGCTCTCCCTTCCGATATTCGGAAGCCACTGGAGCTATTAACTTTTAAATGTATATTAAACGCTCATTTCCTTAGAACTGCTTTTTAGTATTTAGTTTGTTGTCCTTCCCCCTCACCGCCGATGATCACGGTTGGCTTCGTACGGCGCGAAAGAAGTTCAACATACACACGCACATACATGTGTACGCTCCAGAGCCTGCTTGCTTCATACGATGCTGGAAAGCCGAGAGGCTGATGGACTAATAATATACACTGCATGCTATATTACAACTTGGTTTTATTCCCAATGCGGATATGATACTACTTAAGCAGCTGCTCTTTAGACAAAGCCAGTTGCTGACAGTTCCAGTAGAAAACCTGCTTCTCTTGCAAAGGAAACTCTCCTGGTATCTTGCTCAAAACCCTGAAGAGGTTGGTTCTGATGCTTCACATTTAACGTGAAGCCACGGTGGTGAAATGTTAACTACCTCGCCAGGTATACAGGAGGTCGTGGGTGTCTCATTCTCCCCGCTCTAGCTGGATTTTCCTCCGGGTCTTCCAGTTTTTCCCTCCATAATGAGAATCAGCGTGCTGCTAGAAATGTCCACGTGATAAGCCACTTCGTTGAGTTTTAATTTGTGACCAGGTCGCTTCTGAAAAAGACCTGTACATCTTAGTGGGCCTAACCATGTTCAAAGTTACCAACCATGTTCAAAGTTACTAACCATGTTTAAAGTTACTAACCATGTACCAAAGTTACGCAATTGCCCTTTGCTCTTGTAGTGCCCCCTAATGTGAGTCTTCATTGAAAACAAAATGTAAAGGGGCCGTCCATAAATGACGTCACGTACCTAGGGGGGGGGGGTCAGACATTTGTGACGAGGGGGGGGGGTGAGAAATGTGACATCACATCAAAATGCGCAACTTTAAATAAATATAGACAACACGTTCTACTTAATTAAATCGATGTTTTAATAAATGTTTTCTCCTACAACATCAGAGTGCAGCGTCACATTAAATACGCACTACAATGACAATAGGTTAACGCGATTTGAAGCATGGAAATATGGTTTTTGGGGGGGGGGGCAGAGCTTTGTGACGTCATATTTGAGGGGGGGTCTGACTTTTTGTGACGTCGTGTAACGAGGGGGGGGGGGGTGGTCAAAAATCGGCCAAAATCGCGTGACATCATTTATGGACGGCCCCTAAGTCTCAACGGCCTCTCACCTGGCTGATATGAAGGTTACTGAATTAATAAATGAAACGTTCCCACTCTGAACAGCAATCACAAGCGAGAGAGAGAGAGAGAGGGTCACAGATCACAAGCGTTTATTGAGTTTTTTTAATTATTATTAAACAGTATATACTTGTTATCATTCTGTGAGGATCAGCAAATCTATTCAGGAGGCAGATGCCAATGTCGAGGTCTGCTGGCCACGACGGGAGGGCTTCACGTGAGAGCTCGCCTGGAGTTTGCTGTTCCTCCTCCGTTAAAGGAATGCGTACGCGTCTCTATGCATCTCTACGAGTCGATGAGTGTCTATATTTATCTCTATAGGTCTCTAGGTGGTCAACTGTGGGTCTCTGTGGGGGGTTTACTACGTGGGTTGCATGGCCACAATCGGGCAACGGTGACTTGTGTACACGGTGGTGAAGCTGAAGCGTGCATAAAGTGACGTGGATTTAAATGTCGTTGGATTTCCCTTCACCCCGAAGGGTTGTCGACACTCGACAGTAAAATGGAAGCTTGTCGGTTACTCGAGCTCCGGGAGAGTGAGATTTTGTGCTTTGACAACGTTTCCCTAAATGTCTTTGCCGTGAAGTAATACATCACGGGATCAAAGCAGCAATTGGTGCTCACGAGGCAATGCGAGACGATGTCCGCCACTCGGATCGCACACTCGGCGGAGCAGCTGGGCACGTGGCCCAGCCGCATGGCCCTGTACATGGGCAGCACGACGTGGAACGGGACGAAGCAAAAAACGAACAGCGAGACGTTCACGACGATCATCGCCATGATTCTGTGCTTGTCGGTCTCGTCGTTGCGCATCGTCCGCGGCCTCTGCAGCTCTGCGAGGACCGCGCCGGAGCAGCACAGAATGACGGCGAGGCACGTGAAGCAGATTATCCCTGCGACCACGATCACCCACAGCAGGTATGAATCCCACGAGCGCCTTGAGAAGCTTTCGAAGCACTTCGGCTCCTCCGAATCGGTGAGAGGTCTGACGAGCAGGCTCGAACTCGCCCCGACGGTGAAGGCCCACACGGCGAGCGAGGCAAACTTCGCGTAGCGGGGCCGACGCGCTGAGCGCGAAGAGATCGGGTGAACAATGGCGAGGAAGCGATCGATGCTGATGAACGCCATGAAGAAAACTCCGCCGTACAGGTTGACATAGAACACGGCGGTACAAATTCGGCAGAAGACCTCGGTGAACGGCCAGGTCCCCCTGTGGTAGTAATATATCTTGAACGGGAGCGTGAACACCAGGAACATGTCGGTGAAAGCCAGGTTGATCATGAAGATGACCGTCCCCAAATTGCGACTCTGCATGTGGAAGAATCCCCAGAGCGCGAGGCCGTTGAGGGCCAGGCCCACGATGAACACCATGCTGTACGTGGAGACGAAGAGCGTCCGCTTGAGACCCCGGTAGTCGCACGCGCAGCCCTCCGTGCCGTTCTCGGGGACGCCGCTCGCGTTCGCCTGCATCGCTGTCGAGCTTTCTCGCGCTCCGCTCGGCTTCGGCACACGAATCCTGAAGTTTGAGAATATTCGGCAGAGGAAAGAAACAGATCGGCGGTATAGCGGGTGGTGCGCGGTAAAAATAAATACTCATCTCTTTTTTGACAATTATTATTTATTTTCCCGGGAATCGCAACCCCCAGTCAGAAAATTTTGCGTGGTGGTGGTGGTGCGTGAATATCGGTTCTCGTGATGTCGAAGCAGTCGGAAGACGAATGTTTATGAGCGGCTGAACACGAAGCTTCACAGTCTGTTGCCGCACCTACCCTGCCGATTGGCTGGCTTCGTGTTCCAACGGCAACATTTGACTCCACGTGCCCTGAACTTGGTCGGACGGTTCCTCGATTCGTTTCCGCAATAATTTCTTGGCGGACGGTGACCATCAAAATATTGTGACTCATGGTGTCACACGTTCGAATGGGGAAAGCAGCTGCTGAATCTAAGTACAACTTCTAATGGAGAGTCCTGCGGCTCACTCAAGGTCAACAGCGACATCGCCGGACTGTTTTATGGGGACCGGTGTGTTGTTATGCTGCTGACAATACGTCCAAATGCATTTTACGCGTTGATACGCAACGGCTGCTTAATTGTACGATTATGTAAGACTCGTGTCTGAAACAGGTGTCACACCTCGACATTGGCACCTCCGATTAGCACGGTCGGCTAGGTACGGTGCGAAGGAAGTTCAATATACATACAAATGGTTTTCCAGTTGTATTAAAATAACATAATGTACTGTATTCCATGGGATTAAGCTACATATATGTGCAAAAACCATGCACACATTTCACTTAAATATATTTTAGCTAATTGATTAACAAAATGCCCTTTGGTTATCCTGGAAAGCCTCACTGAATATGGAGATTTTCTCAGGAGGGTGCTGCATTGCAGATTAAATCAATTCGCTGGGATAGGCTGCAGAAAGGCATTGGAATGGCTTATATGAGATGTGAGGTGCTCTGAGAACCCGGTTTAGCCACAGGCAGCAGCTGATACTCGAGATTCGAACCCAGAATTTCTGCAATGCCAGCTCAGCCCTCTGACCTCTGAGTCACCCAGACAGACACCTGGACATCTGTGAAACTACTGGACATCTGTGTGAAAGAGCTTTATAGCTCATCGGATTCCTCCAGTATAAATATTCTGATTCTGACCTCAATAATTCATATTATTTTAACGTCGTGTTGAATGAGTAGCCTCTAGAGAATGTATGGTCACGTGGACTTGCTAAATACAGCATATATGTATGAAATAAAAAATACTGATTCACACAAATGTGATTTGATGCACGTATCATGAGCTTAAGAACCAATATTAACTGATGAATCAAAGCAAGGTTACATTCCTGATATCAAATTACTTGATTTCTTCGTCACTATAATTTTTTTACCCTTTTATCGTTTTGGTGACTTCCACGGAATACTCCTGCAAATGAGACTCATCATGGTCTCCTGAACAATTATCTCTGGTTAAAAAAAAACTTTAACTCCTCCGAATGGTTTAAACAGGGCACAACTCCTTCACTCCCACCTGTAATCAACTGCCAACCAAGGGATCCAGAATTAGCACCTCCATGAAAAACAAATGAGGTTTTGGCCGGTGCTGTGGCACACATCGAGTGTTAAACATCCTCACAGCAAAGAGGAAGCGCGAGAGAAGTGTCCGTACCTCTTCTTCCTCCAGAGGCAAACTCTCGGCGGATCCCAGATGTTCGTCGCGCCTGCGTTTTGATGTCCAAATGTGCCTGAAGCACAGCACACGTGTGGCATACGTGTAGTTAAGGGGTCGTCCATAAATGACGTCACGCGATTTTGGACGATTTTTGACCCCCCCCCCCCTCGTCACACGGCGTCACAAAAAGTCAGACCCCCCCTCAAATATGACGTCACAAAGCTCTGCGCCCCACCAAAAAAAACATGCTTCAAATCGCTTTAAACTATTGTCATTGTAGTGCGTGTTTAATGTGCCGCTGCACTCTGATGTAGGAGAAAACATTTATTAAAAAGTATTTTAATTAAGTAGAACGTGTTGTCTATATTTATTTAAAGTTGCGCATTTTTATGTGACGTCACATTTCTCAACCCCCCCCCCCCTCGTCATACATCGTCACAAATGTCTGACCGCCCCCCCCCCTAGGTACGTGACGTCATTTATGGACGGCCCCTAAGTTCGAGCGGCACGTAGTCAGGGGCGGAGCCAGGATTTCAGGCCGGGGTGACATTCAACAAACTTTAATTTCAAGAATGATTAGAGAGTCAGGCTGTTGAACCAGACACCATCGGTTGGCAACACACTCTGACAATCCAGTTTCACGGAGTCCACCAGACCGAGTGTCCTACACTTATACGCAGAATGTTTCAGATTTTCGATTTTTTATTTTTTTTCGGGAGTGACAATTGTCTACCCTGTCACCCCCCCTGGCGCCGCCCCTGTACGTAGTCATACTTCAGTGTTACTTGTTAGAGTAATGGATTTATTCATGAGAGTGGAGGTTCAGGATATTGGCTCGCTTGATTTATCTCAGATTTGTACGTATGCCTGCAACCAAGTAACCACAATTGTACCCGATCTCATTGCCTCTCAGAAGCTAAGCAGGTCTTTTCAGCCTGGTTAGCACGTGATTGGGTGGCGACCAGGGATTTCCGGGTGCTTTAGACGTGGGGTTGCGAGGTGCGGCCAGGAGATGGCGGTGCTGAGTGGCAGCCCCTTGTGTGTGTGTGCTGGGTTTTCTCTGGGTTCTGCAGTTTCCTTCCCACTCGTTCATAGAATCGACCAAACATCATCCCGATGCAGGACCATCCTGACAAACGAGTCCTGAAAAGTCAGATATTCCTACTGGACATCTGTCACAAAGAGCTTTATAGCTCATCGGGTTCCTCCAGTATAAATACATTTTCTGATAATGGCAATGTCAAATCAGTTTTACGTACCGCAGTCAAACAAAGAGACCTCACTTGAAGGCGAAGACGCTGCTGTGATGTTACGATTAGGACACTGGGTCTTCCCGCTAAGCATTTTAAATGATGGTGCAAGTAGGTCTCTTAAGGCTCCCCTCCCGCCCCACCTCTGTCCACCCACAATTCTATTGAACGACGACACCTCGCTGATCTCGTTAAGGAGCATGAACCATTTCTAGATTTGAAGTTTTCGTGACTGCAAGGATCCATACTCTTTGGTTCTATTCGGTAAAGTCACGTAGGTAAAAAATAAAACAACAAAGAATCACGACGTTTCGGCCACACCACAAGTAGCCTTCTTCAGATTCGTAGCGTCTTAAAAGACACTACGAATCTTAGCAGCGTTCATTGAAGCTCTGTCGTCCCGACAGTTCTGTTCCTTCACCTGAAGAAGGCTACTTGTGTTGTGGCCGAAACGTCGTGATTTTTGTTGTTTCATTTTTTACAAGCATGAACCATCAATGCCAACTCCGCTCATCCTCGCAGCAGCAGCGGCCTTTGGCTGGCCATCCAACAAAGACGGCCACCACGCCGCGTGCTTTCAGATGCGCTTCCACGGCTATCTGGAACACTCTTCTGTTCGATTATTTAGAACTGCCTTTTGGGTTTCTTTGTTGTCCTTCCCCCGCACCTCCGACTAGCACGGTTGGCTATGTACGGTGCGAAAAAAGTTCAACATACATTGTAAATGAATACACCGCAGTTGGTCGCCAGATCGCGTGTGGTGGGGTGATATGGTGGTACTCGCACTTCCCACAAGATATCTGACCATCCTGGAAGAGTAGGCCTAAAGTCTGCCAGCAGAGCGAACAATTGCAAGGCTGCACCGTTGACTGTTATATTGTGAAGCAGCCACATTGGCAAGGCCTGCGGGCCACTTGCGGCCCCTGTTGGCCTTTAGTGCGGCCCCTGACGTGCGGCCAACCCGACAAACACAAATGGTGAAAACACCCCCCATCATCACCATCACCCCTCATCATCACCATCACCATCACCCCCCATCATCACCCCCCATCATCACCGTCACCCCCCATCATCACCGTCACCTCCCATCATCACCGTCACCCCCCATCATCACCATCACCCCCCATCATCACCATCACCCCCCATCATCACCATCACGCACCATCATCACCATCACCCCCCATCATCACCATCACCCCCCATCATCACCATCACCCCCCCATCATCACCATCACCCCCCATCATCACCATCACCCCCCATCATCATCATCACCCCCCATCATCACCATCATCACCATCACCCCCCATCATCATCAACCCCCCATCATCACCATCACCCACCGTCATCACTATCACCCCCCATCATCACCATTACCCCCCATCATCATCATCACCCCCCATCATCATCATCACCCCCCATCATCACCATCACGCACCATCATCACCATCACCCCCCATCATCACCATCACCCCCCATCATCACCATCACCCCCCCATCATCACCATCACCCCCCATCATCACCATCACCCCCCATCATCACCATCACCCCCCATCATCATCACCCCCCATCATCACCATCATCACCATCACCCCCCATCATCATCAACCCCCCATCATCACCATCACCCCCCGTGATCACTATCACCCCCCCCCCCCCCATCACCATCACCCCCCATCATCATCATCACCCCCCATCATCACCATCACCCCCCATCATCATCACCCCCCATCATCACCATCACCCCCCATCATCACCATCACCCCCCATCATCACCATCACCCCCCATCATCACCATCACCCCCCATCATCATCATCACCCCCCATCATCACCATCACCCCCCATGATCACCATCACCCCCCATCATCACCATCATCACCATCATCACCATCACCCCCCATCATCATCAACCCCCCATCATCACCATCACCCCTCATCATCACCATCACCCCCCCCATCATCACCATCACCCCCCATCATCACCATCATCACCATCACCCCCCATCATCATCAACCCCCCATCATCACCATCACCCCCCATCATCACCATCACCCCCCATCATCATCATCATCACCACCCCCCATCATCACCATCACCCCCCATGATCACCATCACCCCCCATCATCATCATCACCCCTCATCATCACCATCACCCCCCATCATCACCATCACCCCCCATCATCATCATCACCCCCCATCATCACCATCACCCCACATCATCACCATCACCCCCCATCATCACCATCAACCCCCATCATCACCATCACCCCCCATCATCACCATCACCCCCCATCATCATCGTCGTGCTGCTGTCAACCCATCAATGGATTCAAATGTGTGGCGGCCCTCACGCTGATGATGTCTTATCGGATAAAATGCCCCCCCTCACTCTCTGAAAATAGCCTTGTCTGTGAATAATCTCAGCCTGCTTGACGCACCGCCCACAGACGACACGCATGGGCTTCCTCAGCGCTGGCTCCATCGGAGTCTCTCTGGGATCTCCGAGGCCAAGTCACGTGGAGTTGTGGTCGAGGCGGCCCAGCGTTCCTCTTCCTACTCTTGCTATAAAAAACCACCCGAGTGTGGGAACAGCCTGGCTGCCTCTATGGCCTGTGGCTCAACGCTGATGTCATTCCCTGGGACTTTCACTTCGCACACACACACACGGCACACATGTTGTTTTCAGCAGAGCGGAGCAACGATCAACCGTGGGGATAATTGGAGTCTGGTGCAGGGTTAAGGGACGCAATGATGGTCAATTTAAAAAGCACTGCACCGGTTAAATTTCGATTTAAAGCTTTTGTGACTGCAGGAATTTATATTCTTGGTTCTTTCAGTAAAGTCACGTAGAAGGGAAATAATATAAAAAAATATAAAAGAACGTTTTCATTTTTATTATTTTAGTATTTCCCTTCTACGTGACTTTACCGAAAGAACAAAGAATATACTACAGCGGTTTCCAATATTTTCGTTCGCTGCTGTAGCCCCCCAACCTCCTCGTTGAATTTAGTTTCAACCGAGTACCCCCCCCAACTTGCTGCTGAGAAATAAATGTAGGAATAATGAACGTGAATATTTTAACCAATTGTCCATGTTGTGGGGTATCCTAACTGGCCAGTAACTACAAACGAATATTAACAAAAATCAGCGGACGCTCTGCGTGCGTGGCGTTGATTGTTCGCGCTCGCTCGCTACTCGTGCAGCCCGCCCTGTTTACGACAAATGCGTTGAGGAAGGTCTTTGAAATCGTTCTAGGTTACCATATGAATTCAAATTAAAATCGTAGTTATTTTCAATGTTTCTATTGGCAGATTCATACGTGATTCTAGATTTGAAGCTTTCGTGACTGCAAGGATCCATACTCTTTGGTTCTATTCGGTAAAGTCACGTAGGTAAAAATAAAGTAACAAAAAATCACGACGTTTCGGCCACAACACAAGTGGCCTTCATCAAGTGAAGGGACTGGACTGATTATTCGCCAATGATTCTCACGCATGATATGTAATTTCACACATTTATAATTCACTTCACGTACCCCCTGCAGACATTGCCACGTGGTACTCCCCAGGGGTCCGCGTCCTCCACCCTCCCTCCCCGGATTGAGGACCACGACATCAAACGAACGAGTTCGGTTCAAGAGGTCTGTTCGTAAGTCGATTTGTTCGTAAGTCCAACACTATTCCTGTCGATTCCAAACGTGTTGTACGGCATGTACAGTACTACTATACATTATAAACTACTATACTACATTATATACTACACTACTATATACTACTACACTGCATTATACACTACTACACTATTATATACTACTACATTATA